ACACTCCAATCTGAACCCAGGTCTTTCATGTCTACAAGTCCTTCAACGGATTCCTAAGACCTGCAGGGTAAAATCAAAACCCCTTAGCCACCGTCTGCTCGGCACGCTCGCCAGTCTCCACACACCGCGGAAGCCCTACCAGGAACTGGTGGACTCGGTGATGAGCAATAATCCCCAGGGCTCTCCTGCTTGTTCCTCTGCCTCCAAGATGCTCCCCAAACCGGTTTGCCTGACAAACATCCACTTTTTCTTCAAAACTCAGCTAAGATGTTTCTTCTCAGTGAAGTTTTCCTGATCGGTCCCCACCCCCGGGAGTGTGTGTGCCCTACACTCAGAGCTCCCACAGCCCTCTCTTCTTTTCCTCTGCATTTCCCTAGCCCTTAGCACAGACTTCTGCCAGCACTTGCGTCTTAGGTTTGCATACATACCTCCTGCACTAACCAGTGAGCTCCCTGAGGGCAGGGACCTTCATCACGTCAGTATTCCCAGCCAGAGCACAGTACCTGGCACAGATTACATGTCCAATGACCTAATAAGAATGTAACTGAAAAACCATGAAGCTCTCTTCAGAATGTCCAAGACTCTCATCTTTAAAAGTTTCTTTTCTCTTACTTCAATGGCACCTGGTTCCTCCCTCCACTGCTTTCCCACATCGCTTTTCTCTTCCAGAAACTCTACCCAGGAGAAGAGGGGCAGGATGTGCTTAGTTTCTGTGTCTCCAGGCTTCCAAACTTGGGGACATCTGTATAAGGCAGAGCTAACTGACCAGGTTCAAACTTACTGCAGTTAGGACTGACTGACATGGCATGGCCAGTGAGTCAGGATGAGCAGGGGCAATTACAGGACAAATGCCCATCACTCTGGCCCTGGTCTCCCAGGGTGGCATGCCATCTCGGCTCCCTGCCGCCTCTAGCAGTACAGAAAGGCAATGAATCACGACCACAGTACCCAATAGATCCCACCCAACCCCGTCTGATCTGAGTGATTCTCACTGTGAGAAGCAGACTTAAAAGAAAGAACAAACTCTGTACCCTGGGAGGTATCTGAGGCTTCCAGGACACTGTTACAGGTTGAACTGTGTCCTCCAAAAAGACGTTGAAGTTGAAACCCCCAGTATCTGTGAATGTGACCTTGTTTGGATAGGTCTTTGAAGATGTAATCAATTAAATTAACATGAAGTCATAGTGGAGTAGGGTGGGTCCTATTTCAATATAAATAGTGTCTTTATAAAAGAGGACAGACACACAGAGGGAAGACAGCCCCAGGAAGACGGAGACAGAGATGGAGTTATGCTACAGTTGCAAACCAAGGAATGCCTGGGGTTACCAGAAGCTGAGAGACACAAGACAGGATCTTCCCCTAGGGTCTTCAGAGAGAGCACAGCCCTGCTAACCACCCTGAATGTGGACTATTAGTTTCCCAATTGAGAAAATAAATGTCTGTGATTTTAAGTCACCTACTTTCTGACACTGTTACAGCAGCTTTAGGAAACACATACAGGTCAGTATCATTTCCTCCCGAAACACTGTGTAGGCTGGTGGTGACTTGTGGTGCAGTGGTTAGAGTGCTCAACTGCTAACCAAAACGTTGGCAGTTCAAAACCACCAGCGGCTTCGCTGGAGAGAGATGCGGCAGTCTGCTTCCATAGAGATTTACCGCCTTGGAAACCCTATGTGGTTGCTATGAGTGGGAATTCACTTGCTAGCAGTCGGTTTTGAGTTTGGTAGGCTTTGTGAGCACAGCCAGGCATCCTGTTCAAAGGACGCTTCTTTACTTACCCACGGAGACCATCGCATCTTAGACGACATAGCCAAAAGCCAACTTCCTTTTACTTCTTTAATGTTCACATTCAAAACCATCCCGCTTCGCAGGACCCAGAGTGAGGAAATGTCTAATCTTAGAAGTAGAACTCACATTTATCATCTTCAGATGACCAGTTTGGAAGAGAAGACAGCAGCAGTGGAAATATCTCTGGGACCTCTACAAGGGATTAACCCAACCGACTCTGGAATGTCGGTGCCTCTCCAACTGATATCCAGCCACAGACGCATTTCTCTGTCTAAAACTCAGGTGACTCTGAGGAAAGGATCAGGGCAGATATCACACACGCAGGGCATTTGTGTTTCCAGTGAGGCTGGCAAGTCTGACTGTTATCAACACGTCATATGATTGCTTGACAGACAAGCACCGGCTAACGCTGGGCCTATCCTCTTGGTGACCGTTACTTTAAACTTCACCCGAAGTTGCCATGGCCAGAGTTTACTGGGATTATGTGGTGAGGTCACCTGAGTCAGTAACCGAGCCAGGAAGCAGAGGTTAAGCCATTGGATGGACAGGCCACAACATCCCCGTTAGAACAATTTCACGGACAAGCCTAGAATCTGTGGGGATTAAAAGGTGCTCTGAGCACGCTAAGGCCTTGCCACCATCCTAGGCTTTCCACTAGAAAGGCGAATGTAAGTGTTTTGACGTGATGTTGGGACATTTCACATAAATTGTGTAAGTGTAGGAACTAGCAGAAAAATCAGACTGAATTTTATTCAAGCTGCTTCTATGGGTTTCTTTATTTTGTTTTTCTGTTTGTTTGTTTTCAGTAATATTAACAAAAACCCATTGCTGTCAAGTCGAATCAAATTCATAGTGACCCTATAGGACAGAGCTGAACTGCCCCATAGGGTTTCCAAGAAGCAGCTGGTGGATTTGAACTGCTGACATTTTGGTTAGCAGCCAAGCTCTTAACCAATAAGGGTGGGTTATCTCCTGAGCTTGGCACTGAATTGTGAAGTGTGAGTCCTCATTCAACAATGTTTCCTGGGTGGTGCAAACAGTGAATGCTCTTGGCTGCTAACCAAAAAAGTTGGAGGTTCAAGTCCACCCAGTGTCACTTCAGTAGGAAGGTTTGGAGATCTACTTCTGAAAAATCAGCCATTAAAACTCTATCTAGAACAGTCTTCTCTAACACATGGGGTGCCATGAGTCAGAGTCAACTGGTTGGCAACTGGTATTATGTGCTGGGCACTGAGCTAGTCGCTAGGGATATAATGCTGAACAAGGCAGATGTATTTCCTGTCCTCAACAAAGTGACAGTCTAAGGAACAGTGTATCCTAGAGGTAAACTTGGCCTTAGCCATCAGATTTTTCTCCACAGGTGTAAAGCCAGTCTATTCCCCCAGCCACAAGGCTAGATGCAACCCAAAAATGAAAAAAAGGGCTGCAGTGGCCAGAGCTCACAGCCCAGCTACAGACATCCCTAGAGTGGAAAGTGCAGGAAATAGCAGGAGCTTCAGGCCTGGAATGGACAGGCTGATGCCTGCTCACGGTCATGATGAGGTGCCTGGCTGTGCCATTTTTACTATTATTAATTCTAACAACTGCATTTTATTGAGGATTCTCTAGCCACCAGGCCCTTGGTTAGGGTTACCCTTGTAAATTTTGTATGGCAGGGACCCTCCTTATCTGTCTTGCAGAAGTCTTCCTGCATAGCTCAGGAGAAGGGGAAGGGGAATCTGAGAGTTCAGTCTTACTGTCCCTTGCGCAGAGACATCATCAAGCTTGCCACCTCCTGCAAATCCCTCCAGGCTAAGAAACATCCACAGGAAGACGGGGCCAGCCCCTTTCTGCTCCACCCCCAGCACCATTCAGGGAGCGCTTTTGGAATTAGTGTAAATGAAGTTAAAACCAAAAAAGAACCCAAATCTGTTGCCACTGAGTCGATTCCAACTCATAGAGACGCTATAGGACAGAGTAGAACTGCCCCATGGGATTTCCAAGGAACACGTGGTGGATTCGAACTGCTGACCTTTCTGGTTAGCAGCTGAACTCTTAACCACTGTGCCACCAGAGCTCCAAATGAGGTTAGGGTTAGGTAGGTCAAAATGTTTCGTCAACAGTAAAATGCTATAAAAAATGTAGGATAGTATCATTATTATAAAAGGACAGCAGTAACATCGCTGTTAAGCTTGCTGCTGACTCTACTACACCGCACTATACTGCAGCACCCAACACTGCACTGTGCTATCAGTGAATGCTGAGCCACGTGTGTCGGAGTGGAACTGCACTCCATAGGGGTTTTAATGGCTGTGATCTTTTGGAAGTAGATCACCAGGCCTTTCTTCCAAGGCACCTCTGGGTGGACTCAAACCTCCAACCTTGCGGTTAGCAGCTGAGCATATAACTGTTGGAACCACCCAGGGACTCTGAGACTTGTTGACTAGAGAGACTCATATCAAGAACTATTACTTTTATTTTTCTATACTTTCCACTATTTTTAATTCTTCTTTTACTGTAGTATGCCGTACATATAATAAAAGAAACAGATCTTAAGTGTAATATTTGTTGTTCTGTCCATTACTTTCTGACCTCTACTAATATAAATATTTACAGATAAAGTTTAATTATGATGTATTTTTGTTACATTTGCTATTTATACCTGATAATATCTAGGCAAACCGTTCTTCCATTTTTTCATTTGTTTTCAAATGGGGGCTTTTTGCCTAAGCTCTTTCAATAAACAGAGTGCTGAGCCTGTGGTTTTAATGTTTTTAAAGTGCCATTCCAAGTGATAACACACAATTGTTTTCTTCTGCCTGACACCAATCCAATGTTTAAATAGGCTAAATGTCTGCAAAAGTATTTTAGTTTAAATACAAACACCTTTATAATCTGTTTGCAAATTAATTCCATTTGCAATCCACTGTTTCAACACCATAGGTAAAGAAATACAAGGCAAATGAGATTAAGTCAAAAAGGCAGGCCAGCTGACTGCAATATTAAGAATACACATGAGAAAAAAATAAAAAAGGCAATCATGACCAGAAATTAATTCTACACTACGTTATCTGGAGTGATTTGCTAACCAAGCTGTGATCTCTATTACATCTCAAGCCAAAGAATTAGACTCTGCATTTATGCATAGGCACAAATCAGACTTTAGGGCAGCTGCTCTGGACATGTATATAGGAGTGAGAAGCAGGAAGAATTGGGAAGAAGGCAGCCTTTACCTGAAGCCAACGCTCAGCCTTCTGGGTGGTGCCTTCTCTCTCTGATGCCCAGCACGAGTGCTCCTGGAGGCCTGAGGTCTTCCTGGGATGCCTCATCCTCCACTGCCGCCCCATCCTGATGTTTCCTCACTCACTCTCGCTGTCAAAACTTGTCTGCCTTGTGCTATCAGGCTCCAGCTTTCTGTAAGGAAACTGATAAACTAACCTCTATATAATGGGGAAGTCATTGCTCAACATGTCAACTCCTTCCTGCCAATTACACATATTTGTACTTAAACGGGAGTCTCTGGCTGGTATAAACAACTAAGCGCTCTGCTTCTAACTGAAAAGTTAGCAGTTTAAACTCAAACTGAGATGCCTTGGAAAAAAGCCCCGGCAATCTACTTCCAAAAGATCACAGCCTCTGAAAACTCTATGGAATGGACCCAGTTCTACTCTGCAACACATGGGGTCATTATGAGTCAGAATTGACTAAACAACAACTGGCTTGGCTTGGGGTTTAAACAATGCTCTTGTAGAGATCATGTTTAAACCAAAGCAATCATTTTGATGATGTAAATTCTAATCTTTGGTCTCTAATATATTGACTTTATGCACCTACCATTCATCTTTCATCAAAGACATCATACATGAAGAAAACAAGAGGTCATTAAAAAGACAGGAAAGAAAGCGATAACAAAATGAATGTCAAAAGAGACTTTGAAATTTGCTTTTGAATGTAGAGTAGCTAAAGCGAACAGAAGAAATGATGAAGTAAAAGAGCTGAACAGAAGATTTTCAAAGGGCAGCTTGAGAAGACAAAGTATTATAATGAAATATGCGAAGACCTGGAGTTAGAAAAACAAAAGGGAAGAACACACTCAGCATTTCTCAAGCTAAAAGAACTGAAGAAAAAAATTCAAGCCTCTAGTTAAAATATTGAAGGCTTCTACAGGGAAAATATTGAACAATGCAGGAAGCGTCAAAACAAAATGGAAGGAATACACAGAGTCTCTGTTTCAAAAAGAATTGGTCCACATTCAACCAATTCAGGAGGTAGTATATGATCAGGAACCAATGATACTGAAGGAAGAAGTCCGAGCTCCGCTGAAGGGAATGTCAAAAAACAAGGCTCCAGGAATTGATGGAATAGCAATTGAGATGTTCAACACATTTGGAAGACAGCTTCCTGGCCAACTGACTGGAAGAGATCTGTATTTGTGCCCATTCCAAAGAAAGGTGATCCAATAGAATGTGGAAATTATCGAACAGTATCATTAATATCACACAGAAGTAAAATTGTGCTGAAGATCATTCAAAAGCAGTTGCAGCAGTACGTCGACAGGGAATTGCCAAAAGTTCAAGCAGTATTCAGCAGAGGATGTGGAACCAGGGATATCATTGCTGATGTCAGATGGATCTTGGCTGAAAGCAGAGAATACCAGAAAGATGTTTGCCTGTGTTTTATTGATTATGCAAAGGCATTTGACTCTGTGGATCATAACAAGTTATGGATAACACTGCAAAGAATGACAATTCCAGAACACTAATTGTGCTCATGGGGAACCTGTACATCAACCAAGAGGCAGTTGTTTGAAGAGTACAAGGGGATACTGCGTGGTTTAAAGTCGGGGAAGGTGTGCGTCAGGGTTGTATATGTTCACCATACTTATTCAATCTGTATGTTGAGCAAATAATCCAAGAAGCTGGACTATATGAAGAACAGGGCAACAGTATTGGAGGAAGATGCATTAACAACCTGCTTTATACAGATGACACAACCTTGCTTGCTAAAAGCGAGGAGGCCTTGAAGCACTTACTGATGAAGATCAAAGACCACAGCCTTCAGTACGGATTGCACCTCAACATAAAGAAAACAAAAATCCTCACAACTGGACCAATAAGCAACATCATGATAAATGGAGAAAAAATGAAATTGTCAAGGACTTCATTTTACTTGAATCCACGATCAACAGCTATGGAAGCAGCAGATGATGTAGTGCATTGAGCAAATCTGCTGCAAAAGACCTCTTTAAAGTGTTGAAAAGCAAAGATGTCAGTTTGAGAACTAAGGTGCGCCTGACCCAAGCCATAGTATTTTCAATCACCTCATATGCAGGCAAAAGCTGGACCATGAATAAGGAAGACCAAAAAAGAATTGATGCCTTTGAGTTACGGTATTGGCAAAGAATATTGAATATATCATGGACCACTAGAAGAATGAACAAATCTGTCTTGGAAGAAGTAAGGCCGGAATGCTCCTTAGAAGCAAGGATGGTGAGACTTCGTCTCAAGTACTTTGGACATGGTTATCAGGAGGGAGCAGTCCCTGGAGAAGGCCATCATGCCTGGTAAAGTAGAGGGTCAGCGAAAAAGAGGAAATGGATTGACGCAGTGGTTGCAACAATGGGCTTAAGTATAGCAAAGATTGTGAGGATGGCGCAGGACTGAGCAGTGTCTCATTCTGTTGTACATAGGGTCGCTCAGAGTCAGAACCAACTCAATGGCACCTAACAACAACAACAACCGTTCATCTTTATCAAGTTTGGTTCATTTTTTTTCTCCAGAGGAATCACTTTATGTTTGAGATCACTCAAATAGCACCTTTGGTCACGCTAATTCTAATGACAACAGAAAGTAATTTTAAAATATAAATTAAAACCTACTAGCACTCTGAAATCTAAATGAATTTATTCTCCATTTATTGTTAGTGTACGTTATTACAAGGCACATAAAATTGTCCTTGGGTGGAACAGAAAATAAATTTCTCCCAAAGGAAGGGAATTGAAGATTTAATGACTAGCTTATAATGCCCAAAAAGAGGTATTTCCCCTGAGGTTGAGCTCCCTCAAAAAATTTGAAGGGTCCCAGATTCTATGGTTTAGGAGAATTCCCAATGGGAAACAAACAACGCTTTTCTTTTTAGTTTGTTTTCTGGTGTTTTGTTTTGTTTTGTTTTTTGGCAAATCCACTGGGACACAAAGCAAAGCAACACTTTTCTTGAGAGTGTGTAACTCTTCTCTCTTGGCAACCCCAAAGCCTATGGAAGCCGAGGCAGCTTCTGGTTCCCCAGGCAGTTTCCCTGTGGAGAAGAGGATGTGAGGTAAAGATGGCCCATCTCCTCTCCATGGGGATCTTATACTCATCCCCAAAGGAGGCCCATCATATTCCCAAGATACCTAGTCCCTGGACAAACCACCAGGATGACAGGCTGTGCGAGTCTCTTCCTCACCAAGGAACTACAAACTGTAGTATGCCGAAATCCAAAAAAACAAACCAATCGCCATTGAGTCATTTCTGACTCATGGCGACCCCCTGTGTGCAGAGTAGAACTGTGCTCCATAGGGTTTTCATGGTGTGATCTTTCAGAAGCAGATCACCAGGCCTTTCTTCCGAGACACCTCTGGATGGGTTTGAACCACCAACCTTTTGGTTAGCAGTTGAGCACTTAACCGTGTGCACCACCCAGGGACTCCGTATTATGACAGAAGGTGCCTGATAAAGGCTACTCTGGGAGCCCAGACCTTTCATCACTTCATTATAAACTAGAATTCCCAGAAATTAGAATCTGAATCTGAAATTCTGTTAGGATCTCCACGTGTGTTCAAAATCTAAAAAGAAAGAAGAAATCAGTGAAGTCTGCTGTTGGTCTCAACCTCTTAAATAGTTCCCTGCTGATTCACAGTGTAAACACAGCAGTTAATTCCCTCCTTTCAGAAATCTGCTTGTGTATACCAAATTATTGTTATCTTTGTTCAACCATGAGAGATTGATATGGTGAATGGCTGCCAGCATGGTCCTTTGTCTTTCCTGATTTAAATAAATAGATCTGGCTTTGGGCAGCCTCTTCAGACTGACATGCACCCAGACATGAATGTTATCTTGTTAAGATATATAGTTACACAAAAACATTTATGTAATCAATATATCTTGTTCAGCTTTAAAATCTAAGACATGTTTTCAAGTAATCTTATTTTTTTCACAGGTTGAGTAGAATAGTACAGAAGTAATGACTAACGCTGGAGTCCCTAGGTAGTGGAAACAATTACAATGCTTGGCTGCTAACTGAAAGGTTAGAGGTTCAAGTCCATCCAGAGATCCCTTAGAAGAAAGGCCTGGCAGTCTACTTCAGAAAAAATCAGCCATTGAAAACCCTGTGGAGCACAGTTCTGCACTGACACACATGGGATTGCCATGAGTCAGAGATGACTCTATGACAAATGGTTATTGTTTAATGACTAACATCAGAGGAGATGTCATAATTATCTATAACAGATTGATATTATATCTAGTTTCAGCGTACTAAAACCCATTGTTTTCGAGTTGATTCTGACTCATAGCAACCTTAGAGGACAGAGTAGAACTGCTCCATAGGGTTTCCAAGGAGCAGCTGGTGGATTTGAACTGCCAATTTTGGGGTTGGCAGATGAGTGCTTAACCACTGTGACACCAGCGCTCCTTCTGTGTACTAGGAAATGGAAATATGTTTGTATGAACCTTCCCTCACGTCTCCCATAGCCTAGAAAATAGGAGACACCTCTTCTGAGTCCTTTCACTGTATCATGCAATATTTTAACTTTAAACGGGATATATACGGTCTGTATTTACATCTTATTGACTTACCTTCAGCTTCTTGCTTCGCCAAGAGGACTGCCAGATTAGAGTAGGGGGTTGTTCATTGGAAATGGACCAAAGTCCCTCTTCTAAATGTGATCCTTTAATGGGTTTCTTTAAGGATCCCACCTTTCTTAATAGTTTTCACTGTGATACCCTGTCAAAGGGGAGGAGTTGATAAAAAGAAATAAAATTGAAACATGGACCTTGGTAGAGATGACTGAAGGTTCTTCATTTAAAGGGTTGGTTCCTTTTCTCTTGTTATATTGTGGAATCTGAAAATACCTTTTGAGATTCTAGTCACCATCTTCAGTACTGCCCAAGAGGAGCCACCTCCACACTCTCTTCCTCCTAGACTCTCCCATCCCATTGGGCGAGATAGAGAAAGAGCTATCTCCCTTAGTCAGGCTCTAAAAGAGTAGTAGTATATTACATAAGAGTATTATATGTTATATATAGTATTATATCAATTTTTTTTATCAATTACCCCTCAAATGCATGCAAAAGCTGGACAGTGAATAAGGTAGATGGAAGAAGAATTGACATCTTTGAATTATGGTGTTGGCAAAGAATATTGACTATACCATGGACTACCAGAATTGGGGGACAGAATTCAAACAAATCTGTCTTAGAAGAAGTACAGCCAGAATGCTCCTTAGAAGTGAGGATGGCTATCCAAACTCCCTGAGGGACTGAATTGCTGGGCGGAGGGCTGTGGGGACCATGGTCTCAGGGAACATCTAGCTCAATTGGCCTGACACAGCTTATGAAGACAATGCTCTACATTCTACCTTGGTGAGTAGTGTCTGGGGTCTTAAAAGCCTGTGAGCGGCCACCTAA